GGGGGGGGGGGCAATACAAAGTGCTTTAAGCACACGAGGACCAGAGGGATTAATTTTGCCTAGGGGAATCAGGAAGGACTTCACAGAAGAGAGAACGTTCCCACTGGGCCTTGAGGATTGAGTAGGAGTTCGTCAGACACCGGGAGAGCGGACAGGCAGTCCAGGCAGAGGGAACAGCAGGTACAAAGGGACTGGTGTTTCCAGGAAATTGCAAGTGTTTCTGGATGGCTGGAGCATGAGTGCCGGCAGAGGGACGGCAGGAGGTGAGGTGGGACGGGTCGGCCGCGGCCAGGTCTGAAGGATCTGATGGTGTGCCATAAAGAATTTGGGCCTTTCCCTGTAGCTCAGGAGTCAGGGAGGGCTGGAATGGAGGACACTGGAATGAGGGGTGGTGAAATGACCGACTTGAGTTTCGGAGGGTCCCCAGGCCCTGGCAGCAGTGCCTGGGACTGGGACCCGGTGGGAACCTCTCGTAAGTGTCTGCGGGAAGGATGAGGATGAGGGCAGAGGAGGTGGAGATGGAGGGCGACAGACTGACAGTGGAGAGGTCAAACTGACAGTACTTGGTGACGGAAGCCACAGCGGAGAGAGGAGAGGAGCTGAAGCGGTTCTAGGTTTCTTCCAGCTTGGGCCACTGGGTGAAAGGCAGGCAGTCACATCCTTTAGGGAACCCAGGAGGAGCAGGTGTGAGCCTAACGAGGACGTCAGGTTTAATCTTGAGCTGGATGCGCCCAGGGAGCAGCAGGTGAAGGTGTCCAATAGCAGGTATTCATCCTGCCATTGGGAATTGGTAGCAGTCAGTGGTTAAGACAGAGGGCTCTGGGGTCACATCGCTAGGTTCTTCCACTTTCTCCCTATGTGATCTTGGGCAAGCCTCTCCGTTTCCCCAAGCATCTATTTCCCTGTCTGTAAGCTGAGGCTTAAGTGAGAAACCGTATGCGAGTTTCAACAGCACAGTGCCGGGCACAGAGCGAGCCACCAATAAATGTTAGTCACTGTTGTTACAGAGTTGATGTCGGGAGTCCTTAGAGTATCATGATGCTTGGTTAAGCCACGAGCTTAACTGAGGCCACCTGGGGAGGGGATAGAGGTAAAAAGAAAGCCAAGGAAGGAGCCCCGGGGGAACAGTGACACGTGGTGGGGGGGGGGCTAGCAGCATCAGATGAGCCAGATAAGACAGAGCTGCCAGAGAGCTGGGAAAGACATCCAGGAGTTGGTGGGGTCCTAGAAGCCAGATTTCCAGAAGAAGGGGAGGTCAGTCTTAGTAAATGCTGCAACAAATGTCCAATATCGGGTGAGAGTCTGCCGGGTTTGGCAGCTGGGGGGACTCTGGTGACTCATGCATGTATAGCCCTGGCAAAGGTTCCAGAGACCATGGAAGCTACAGTTGCGACCCTGGTTATGCTCACACATGTGTGTATGCATGCTCAGTCTCCTTCCCACAGTCAGATGGGGTGTGTGGGATTATCTTCCTCCTATCAGTTTCAGCTGAGCCACCTTCCCTCTCTCTTCCTCCCCTCCCTGGGATGTGACGGGCCAAAGTTAGGAGTGGGGTATATGGCTATGGAATAGAATGAAGCTAATTGGCTCTACATGGATTGAATCCATAGGACCTTGACCTCAAAAAACCTCAATTAACTGGTTACAAACAAAGGTATACAATCTTCATCTATATCAAAGAACACCACCTTTCCTTGGACAAGGTGAAAAGTTCCATCTTACCTAGAACAGTAAGGGAAACCCCTCGATACAGGGCTAAGAACCCTTCCTGTTGATAAATGGTAGAAAAAGCATGGAGGATCCCTCTGTAAGATGGTTCCAGCAGGTTCTGCACAATCAACCGGGTTTTGATGAGGTCTGTAGGGTATGTCACAATGGTGGAAACCATGCCTGCAAGACTCCCAGCCATGATGGAGCTCCACTGGGAAATATGGCCCAGGTCATCCGTGAATAGTATGACAAACCTAGGAGAAAAGAGGAGGAAAAACCCAAGAGAATCAGCTATGGATTGTGCTAGAGTGTTCTATACTACTTCTTGCAATATCTCCCAGCATTTGGAAATGTTTTACAAGGTAAAAATTACTACACTAATGTATTAGGATTCATGAATAGCACATTCAATTCTACTATATTTATAGAATTTTGTTAGCTATAAGGAGATGTCCGACCCTCTTCTTTATGTCTACCCTAAGTTCTTCCCACTTCATTTTAAGCATTTTCCCCTTTATCTGTATAACTGTCAATCCTGGCTTGCCAGTGGGGTATAAATTAATAGGAGTACTTGGTAAATACTGAACTGGAAAGTGCTCCTTTGGTTCTGTTGAAACTTAAATGAAATTGCTTGATATGACGACTTTGATCATCCTTAGTAATTGAGGTTTTTTTTTGTTTTTTTTTAAGTAAGCTCTGTCCAACGTGGGGCTTGAACAACTCAGGATCCCGAGATCAAGAGTCTCATGCTCTACTGACTGAGCCAGCCAGGTGCCACACCCCCTTCTGCCCCCAGTAACTGAGTTTAAAAAATGTATTGGTTTGGGCGCCTGAGTGGCTCAGTCAGTTAAGCATCTGATTTCCGTTCAGGTCATGATGCCAGGGTCCCATTGAGCCTGCGTAGGACTCCCCGCTCAGCAGGGAGTCTCCCTCTCCATCTCGCTCTGCCCCTCCCCCCTGCTTGTGCTCTTTCTCTCTCTCTCTCAATACATTAAATCTTAAAGAAAGGTATTGGTTTAACAGTTATAAGGGAAGATGTGCCACCCTACTAGTTGTCTGGGAAATGACAGATAAAAACAAGATACCATTTCTCACCCAGCAGATTGGCAAAGATGAAAAAGTCTGATAGTATCAAGTGATGGGGAGGACACGTGGAGACAGGAATGCCCCCCCACTGCTGGTAGAAATGTACTGGTCCAGCCCCTTTGTAGTACCCAGGACGACTGAAGGAACGCCTCCTTTCACCCCAGCGATTCCATTTCTAGGTGCATATCCTACAGAAGCTCTTGCACACGGACATGTGAAGACACACAACATTGCGTGTTAGTGTGAAAAGTTGGACAACCTAAAACTCCATTTGTAGGGGAATGGATAAATTGTAGTAGTCGTACAAAGGATACTACAGTTACAATGAGCTTGCGACTATGTATTCATAGGGATAATCATAAAAGCATAAAGTTGAGTGAAAAAAGCAAGTTGCAGGGTGACCTACAGTATAGGACAACCATCTATTTAAATTAAGAAACACACTCATAAAAGTGGCTATGGAATAGAATGAAGCTAATTGGCTCTACATGGATTAAATCCATGAAATCTGACTACCTTATATTATTCATGGATAGAATCCATGAATTCCGACTACCTTATATTATTCATGGATAGATATAGCTACATATTTTAAAAAGTGTAAAATAGGGGTGCCTGGGTGGCTCAGTTGGTTAAGCATCTACCTTCGGCTCAGGGCATGATCTCAGGGTCCTGGGAT